CCCCCACACAAGTGCTTTTTGCCTTTCTGGGATGTTTCCTTCAACAAAGGTAGAAGGCACATTTGTTGCTCTGCCAAATTTTGCCTTTGGCCTGGAAGAAACGTGGGCCTCAGAATGTGTGATCAGATCTACCACTGTGCTGGACCCAGGGGGTTAACCCAAGCAACGCGGTCCAGGTCTGGTCCCGTATCCATGGGTTCTGCAAGGAGTCAGTTCAACAGGGCCAAGGCAGGACACGAGGCAGGAAACCAGGCAAGGTCAGGTACAGGATCACAGGCAGGTTCTGGCAAACAGCAATATTGCTCACACAACCTGGGGCGGGGTCCGACAGCCTTTTAACTTTGTCAGGGTAATGGCCGGTCCTGATCCCCCAGTGACTCACCTCCCTGTCTCACCCGAAGGTGAGCACTCCTTCTGCGAGTACTCAGGTCTCTTCTTCTCCCAGACCTTAGACTCTGCAGCTCAGGAGATGTCAGTGGGTTACTAGACCCAGGGGCTGCCACAGCCCCCCTGACCCAACCAGTAGTGGAGCAGCTGTAAGTGATGGTCCAGCTGAAGGCAACGAGGTCATCCCCGCATCTGAAGCCAGGGCAGACTCAGGCCCCTGACTCGGCCCAGCTGGTGTTTGTTGCAGGGGAACCTGTGCAGGATCAGGCCCCAGACTTGGTCCAGATGCCGCCTGAGACAAAGGAACTGGTGCGGACTGAGACTCCTCTGGTTCCTAGTCCGAGCCCGAGTCCCAGGCCATCACAACCACAAACTGATGTCCAAACCAATGCCTGAAATCTACAGTCACTCCTTGACATAAGAAGAGTCTGCTGGATCAGACCAGTGGCCCATCTAGTCCAACATACTGTCCTCACACTTTGGGAAACCGACAAGCGCAACAGCACTCTCCCCTCCTGTGGTTTCCAGCAACTGGTGTTCAGAAGCATTACTGCCACCAAGTATGGAGTGGTCAAGGTTGGTGGCCATCACAGTCACCTCTGGGAATGAGTTCCATAGTTTAACTACTGTGTGTGCTGCAAGGTCATGTTGTTCATTCTTGCAGCTGAAATTTCCCCCCACCCTTGACATGTCCTTAACAATCTCCTCCTGATATCCAGTAGATGATATCTAGATTCTCCAATTTCCCCATCTCTGGACTCACAAAGCTTACCATTTCTGGGATGAATGACGTCCACTCTTCCTCCCTGGACTCTCTTCACCCGATGGATTGGATTCTCTGCTGCTTGACTTAAAGTGCCTTTAGGGAGACAAAGGGGGTGGGAAATATTGTTCAGGGCTCTGTTTCAGGTCCCCTATTGCTTTTGCGAACTGAATTTCTCCCTCCCTCCCTGCCAGTGCTGAAGGATTTACCAAAGGCGGAGAAGATCAGATGGAAGTCAAGAAGAATTAGGAAGCTTCTGTGAGTGACTTTCATGGCCGGTTCTCTCTGGGAATGAAGTGAGCTTTCAGTGTTTCCTGGAGAGGGGAGGGGGAAAGAGGGGTTGGCTTACCCCAGTTGCAGTCCACTCCTTTGCTGTCTGCAAACTACAACACAGAACAGGTGCCAACGGAGAAACATCCGCCAAGCCGTTGCAAATAAATGTAAGGCTAACGACTGGGAAGCCATAAAAATGAACCATGTGACATACTTGCTCTCCCATAAAATCACTTTACAAGTATTTAAAAGTATGAGTCAAGGTTAAGTAACACCTAAATTACAGTCAGGCTCGCTATCCTATGAACAAAATGAGTTCTTTAGATCTGTGTGCTCTCTCTCGCTAGTCCTATTCAGTGACACTATGTATGTTTCTGTCCTGTTTTAATCTCTGGCATTATCACTTATTCTTGTATCTGCCTTATTGCAGGGCAGATTCGAGGGTAAACCATACATGGAACGAGTCTGCCCCTGCGGCTTGATGGAGGTAGAAACTGTCTCTCATGTCTCACTACGCTGCCGTTTCTACGGGGATAGACCTACGGGGGTATTTATCACTCCTGTTATACAAAAATCTCCAAATGGGTCCTAACTTAAATGTCTAAAACTCCTGGTAGAGGACAAGGATCTAGAGATTATGCTAAGGGTGGCCAAATTCTGTGCGATTGCCATAAAACTTAGGGAACAAGCTGTACTTCCAAAATGATTAAGGTTTTAAATGATAATTTTAGGTTATATTTTAATGATCGAGATTTTATTTTTTTTAACTGCCGCTAAGATCAAACCTCTCCATTCTGAAGGAAATCAGCCCTGAATGCTCACTGGAAGGACAGATCCTAAAGCTGGGACTCCAATACTTTGGCCACCTCTTGAGAAGAGAAGACTCCCTGGAAAAGACCCTGATGTTGGGAAAGATGGAGGACACAAGGAAAAGGGGACGACAGAGGACGACATGGTGGGACAGTGTTCTCAAAGCTACTAGCATGAGTTTGACCAAAGGGTCTTTTCCAGGGATTCTTCTCTTCTCATGCGGTAGCCAAAGTCTTGGAGCCTCAGCTTCAGGATCTGTCCTTCCAGTGAGCACTCAGGGCTGATTTCCTTCAGAATGGATACGTTGGATCTTCTTGCAGTCCATGGGACTCTCAAGAGTCTCCTCCAGCACCAGAATTCAAAAGCATCCATTCTTCGGCGATCAGCCTTCTTTATGGTCCAGCTCTCACTTCCATACATCACTACTGGGAAAACTATAGCTTTAACTATTCAGACCTTTGTTGGCAAGGTGATGTCTCTTAAAACTAACTATGAAAATGGGGGGAATGGGACCTTGCTGAAATAAAAGTTCCTCACCAGGGAGGGAGGGAGGGAGCCTGTCTGCTCTCAGCCAGGACGGAATTCCACAGAATCAGCCCACAGTACTGGATGCAAATGGCCAATGGCGGAGACAAGTTGTGTTTCTGAGCCATTGGGGGGGCACGAACAAGAGAGACACACACCCAAGACCTCAAAGATAAGGGTTCAGGAAGCTGTTACGGTATCCTGGACTCAATGACTTTGTGAATTAAGGCAACCCGGTAAGATGTGTGGGGTATAAATTGTAAAATTATCATTATGGAATGGGACGTCACTACTTTCATCGGATGCTGGAGTCAGAAATTGGATCGTTTTTATCAAAAGAAAAGAAATACAACGAGAAATCCAATTTCAAGCAATACTTGCTTTCTGGCGCCATCTGCTGTTGCATGTTTAAAACGCATTCAAATCACATTATTGTGACTAATGTAGCTGAGTCCGCAATCCGCTCAGAGCTGCTTCCTTGAAGGCCACACCTCAAATCACATTCTTTGTAGCTAGAAGAAAAGAAGGGTGCTAGTTTGAACAGCTTCTTTTTTTTAGAGAGAGAGAGCAGTGGTGGACAGAGTGTGAGTATCTTCCTGCAATATTTATTTTTTACAAATTCATTTGTCTTTATTTATGTGAATGGGGGAGGGAGATGGGGAGGAGAAGGGGTGAGGGCCATAGCTCAATGGATGAAGTTTACAGGCTCAACCCCTGATGGCATCTCCAGAAAAGGGCTGGGAGCGACTCTCAGCCTTAAACCTTGCAGAGCCACTGCCAATCCGTGTAGACAATAATGAAGTAGATGGTATGACGTCATGTAAGGCAGTTTCCTGTGTAGCTGAGAAATGGTGGGTCTTTTCTGTTCTTGTCACAACTTCCAGCAGAAGGAGTATGGAGGTTTTCCACTCCTGTTTCCATTTAGTTTCAAAAACCACAAATGCTCTGCGTGCCCACATACTTCTCCTTGATGCTTTTTAGAGATACCCCAAGTTTTCACCACCCTAAGCAACACCTCTCAGAAATGTGGGGTGTGGGGAAGAATACATTTCTCACCTCTATCACTTGTGCAGATTTCAAGCATGTCAACTGAGGTTTCCTTTTGATCTTCAGAATTGCTGACCATGCAGGTGAACGTGGAGTCATTACAGTGGTGCCCCGCAAGACGAATGCCTCGCAAGACGAAAAACTCGCTAGACGAAAGAGTTTTCCGTTTTTTGAGTCGTTCCGCAAGACGAATTTCCCTATGGGCTTGCTTCGCAAGACGTTTCGTTCGACATTACTTGCGAGTTTGTTTCCTTTTTCTTAAAGCCGCTAAGCCGCTAAGCCGTTAATAGCCGCTAAGCCGTTAATAGCCACTAAGCCACTAAGCTGCTAATAGCCGCTAAGCCGCTAATAGCCGTGCTTCGCAAGACAAAAAACCCGCAAGACGAAGAGACTCACGGAACGGATTAATTTCGTCTTGCGAGGCACCACTGTAGAACCTTTTCGCCAGGAGATACAGAGAGTCCTGACATTGTCAGAAAGTTCATTCTTAGCCAAAACTCCAGAACCCGGAGGCCTTATTTCTTTTCCATATGATTTTGAATGTTTCTTCTCCATATGCACGGCACTGAAGGGTCACATTGCAGCCTTCTGGAGTCTTGGAGATGTTTTAAATCACTGAATGTAGCAGTCTTTAATTTTTACAAGCCTTTCACGCTTCCTGAAAGAAAACGTGAATTGAAGCACAGCCACCCTTTGGCTTTCAGGGTGAATTTTGCAGTAGAGTTCCTCAACCAACAATTGTGGACAATATGTGTCCATTAGTAAAACGTGTGCATTAAATTGCATGGATTAGTTAAAATAACACACAAAATGTAGAGTATGAAATCAACAGTGCTCTTTAGCTATACAACCCTGTAGTATCTGGTATCTGGAGGTAGCATAGCTGTCAACGTTTCCCTTTTTTAAAGGGAAATTCTCTTATTCTGAATAGGATTCCTCACAAGAAAAGGGAAAAGTTGGGAGGTAGAATGCCTCTGTCAGTGGAAGGTCCACATTTCCACTAAGAGCATTCAACAACTCCTCCTCCATTTTGAATTTACCTAACACCCTTTCTAAGGGACCCCATTTAAGAGTCGTCTTGTGAGCTTCTGGAGGCAAGTTTAATCTTCATTGAGTGGTAAACTTCTTTCTCTTCCCTCCAGACATTTTCTGCTACAACTCCCATCTGCCCCTGCAGTCAGAAGGCCCAATCATCTGAAGGCATATATTTTCTTTATTTCAAAAATAAATACACCGGTTAACACTGTAGTGCCTGAGGTTTCAAAAAATACATCTGCATTATTATTATTTGCAGAATTTATATACCGCTTTTCAGGCAGACCTCACAAGCAATTTACATAATATTATAACAACAATAAGCATCACATTTTAAAAAAGAATAGTTACAATAGATATAATATAATAATAATAATGATATAACTTCTTCATTTGGAAGAAAATCTGTTGCTACTTCAGATGCCCTCAACTGTCCCATTAAAACTGGAACATCCCATTTTCCCACACAGCAGCACAGTGGCCCAGTTTTTCACCTTGACATGTTGGAGGCTATGCATTTGGTAGCACCTCAAAGCGGTTTGCAAAAGATAAAATCAAGAAAAAAAAATACAGCCCGCCTTTAAAACAGACAAAAGTTAAAATACTGAAACAGATTAAAAGTGATGTTGTTGTTCAGTGTCTTTATAAACGACAGTGAAGGCACCTGCTTGAGTTCCACAGGCAGGGAGTTCCAAAGTGCAAGCTCTGCCATGCTATAGGGTTGAGTTCTTACACCCACAGGGCTGATATTATGGGACACCTGTACTAGTGCAATTCTGCCAATTGAAGTGGATGAGTGGGCATATGTGAGGTAAGGCGGTTTTGTATGTAAACTGCTCCCAAGCTGTTAAGGGCTTTATATACAGGCAACTCCCAATTTGCATGGGGATTGTGTTCTGGGTCATCTCACGCTGCAGTGCAGTGCAGCCCAGCCCAATCCAACCCCATTATGCACTTTTACCCCCTACTATGGGGACGCGGGTGGCGCTGTGGGTTAAACCACAGAGCCTAGGGCTTGCCGATCAGAAGGTCAGCAGTTCGAATCCCCGCGATGGGGTGAGCTCCCGTTGCTCAGTCCCAGCTCCTGCCAACCTAGCAGTTCAAAAGCACATGAAAGTGCAAGTAGATAAATAGGTACTGCTCTGGCGGGAAGGTAAACAGCGTTTCCATGCACTGGTTTTCCAGAAGTGGCTTAGTCATGCTGGCCACATGACCCGGAAGCTGTACGCCGGCTCCCAAGGCCAATAAAGCAAGATGAGCACTCCAACCCCAGAGTCGGCCACGACTGGACCTAACGGTCAGGGGTCCCTTTACCTTTACCTATGCCCTGTTATGCCACCACCCCATCAAGGTGTTGATTTGATCATGCACAAAACAGCCGTTGCCAGTCCTAATATGAACACCTTGAAGTTGGCAGGACATTGGCCAATTGGCAACCAGTGCAGAGCTCTGAAAAGGGGGTGTTTGTGCGGACAAAGCCACACACATATCAGCGATCATGCTGCAGCATTCTGCAACAACTGCAGCTTCCATATCAAGAGAGGAAACCCGCATGTTGCAGGAATCCAGTCTTGAAGTATATGAACTACTGTGGCAAGGCTTTCATGGTCTGGGTATGGCTGTAGCTGTCAAAATAGCTGCAGTAGGTAAAAGGCACCTTTTGCCCTGAAATCCCTAACAATGGCTTTATGTAAATATGAAATAGAACCCCGGAGCATAGTTCAGCCTCCACAGCTGGAGACAGCAATGTTTCTGAAGATCGGTTGCTAAAAGCAAAGACTCAGGCAGCATTTCCTCTTTATAAGGGTCCCAGGAGGGGGAAATGAGCAAAGCCAAATGATGTTCCCAGCAGCTTTTCCATTGCAGCCACAGGATCAGAGAAAAGTCCCTCTTCTTGATTTTCACCCTGCCCCATGACCTTTTTCGGACAGTGTTCTCAAACTGGGTGGGGGTGTCAGTGTCGGCCATCTCCCCCAGCTTGTCTGGCAGTCACTCGGTTTCTTCAGTCGGGTCCTCAGCTCTGAATCCAGGATAGCTAGCTGCAGTCACAGCTGCAGTCACAGGCATCTGGGGCAGACGCTATGCAATCAGAAAGGGAATCATAGGCTGGCGGTTCTGAGCACAATGTACTTTCTCCTCCATTCCGGTCAGCCTGCAGGTGGAGGAGAAAGAGGAGCAGTTAAACAACACGGTACAGGAGACTGTGGGAAGCAGCTCCCGAAAGAGCATTGGAGCCCACCTAAACCACCAGCTCAGCCACAAATTCAGCAAAAGGCAGATGACTCAACTATACCTCTTAGTTCAAGTGTTTAGGGATAGCTTAAGGTCTGTGAATAACCATAGGTCAGAGGTCCTGGGCTCTAAGGAAGTCAAATTATCCTCCACCAGGGCCAGGGCCTTCTCAGTGATGGCTCCGACCTGGTGGAATGCTCTGTCCCATGAGACCAGGGCCCTGCAGGATTTAAACTCCTTCCGCAGGGCCTGTAAGACAGAGCTATTCCGCCTGGCTTTCAATTTGAACTCAGCCTGACCTTTTATTCCCCTCCCTTCCCTCCCCCTCCCCATTTTATGAAGATTACCCGCTCTGGGATCCCACAGCTAATTCTCCCCTGATCTCCTCACTGGCCCAAATAGGACTAATTTAGCCAGCTAGCCCTGGTGATCATCTAATGTTTATTGGATGGATTTCCCCCCTAAATTGATTTTTGAATTCTGAATTTATTGATATTCATGTTTTATACTGTATTTTATGCTGTTTTTTGTTGCATCAATTAAGTGTTTTAAATTTGTTGTTAGCCAGTTTTCTGAACCGGGAAGGGCAGGGTATAAATAAAAAATTATTATTATTATTATTATTATTATTATTATTATTATTACAGGTTCCTGGATCTCTCATCACAATTAAGCTAATAACAGTTTGGCTGTGCTCTTCTGCTTTAGTCAGACAATATTGTTTTAAATCTATTCGAATTTAACGTTTTGGGCCAGCAATATAATCAGTATTTTAGAAAGAAGGAAGAATAGTTTTTTTTGGTGCGGGGAGTCACCAAACGATGGAGGCAATCGAGGCCAGACATTTTTCAGCTTGAGGCAAAGGACCAGATGGTGCCGCCACCCCTCATTAGATGTACAGAAGTCTGCCAGTTAAATCTGACTTTGAAACTGGCCGCAGGGCACTGTCCTCTACTGCACCTGTGGGAAGCAGGATAACTTATGTGGGGGGCAGTCGTCACAGACTCTTGAGAGCCAGTGTAGTGTTGTGGTTAAGAGCGGTGGACTCGTAATCTGGTGAACCAGGTTCGATTCCCCGTTCCTCCACATGCAGCTGCTGGGTGACCTTGGGCCACTCACACTTCCTTGAAGTCTCTCAGCCCCACTCACCTCACAGAGTGTTTGTTGTGGGGGAGGATGGGAAAAGGAGAATGTTAGCCGCTTTGAGACTCCTCAGGGTAATGATAAAGCGGGATATCAAATCCAAACTCCTCCTCCTCTTCTTCTTCTTCTTCTTCTTCTTCTTCTTCTTCTTCTTCTTCTTCTTCCAAAACCCCTGAAGTCTCTCACTACCCTGAGATGGTGGTGACACGTAACAGTGGCACCGAACCATCACCCCTTATTTTCTTGACATACGCATCTCACCTGGACCTCATCATAGGTAGGGAGGCTCATTGCTGTACTGTCGGGTGCAGAAACCATCAAAAGGCGGTTCATCATTGGGTTCTCGGGTGGCGGACGGTACACCATCTCCTCTTGTGCCACAGAGGGAATATCTGCAGAGTGCAACATGAGACACGTTCTTTAGTCCTTGGCAATGACCAATCCCTGTCTTCCAGGATACACAAATGGAAGGGTGGGAACATATTTGGCAGGGAGCCTTCATCACAGCTGAGATGGAAGGAAGAGTAATAGAGAGGGTTCTACCTGTGTTCCTCTGATTGGATTTCCCCACCTCATAACACCTGCAGATCACCACCAAAATACATATAAGGGGTACAACAATACCCAGTGTGATACCCCATTGGATATTTTGTTGAATGCTGCCTGGAAAAGTGCTGCCTGGAAGAACAACAACAACAAAAAAGAACCTATTGGAACAAGAACATAATAGCTACTGCCAAAGTGACCTCTGCCCCAACATGTGACCAAGAGCAACAGAATAAATAACAGAGAATAAGTGAAAATGCCAATTGGTTTCATTTGTAGGGAAATTCCATAAGGGCCAAAGTCATGTTTGTAAGCTCCTTCACGTAATATTTCTCCTACGATCATCTGATAATTGCCCTTAGCATAAAATGAATTGTCAGCTCGTCCCATGAGAAAGCCAATCTATCAATATGACAAGGGGTCATTAAGCTGTTCACATGTTTTCTCAGAGAGGTCTTTAACTGAACTTTACGAGGGTGGGAAATTAGAGAAATTCTGAGTTTCCGGTTCTGGTTGTTTCACTTACATGTTTAAAATGCTACATTGAGAAATGGTTGCCGGTTATTGAAAGCTTTGGGAAACTATATTTTATTAGGGGCTGCCATCCCTGCCCCCATTGATCAGCAACTGCCCTAACTCCCCCTCCACCTCCATGCCAACCCCTACCCACTTGCAACCACACTATGGACCTCACCCTGGTAACCATCCCTCACGGTTGATTCAGCCATTTTGCCATACCTCCTTCCACCCCCAGCCCTCCCATCACAGCTCCTTCTACCCCACCTCTCTGCCACGCCAACCCTGTGGCCCATCCTCTCCCCATGATCCTACCAAAATTCCCCTATGTCCACTCCATCACTCATTGCTCCAGTCCCCAAATACCACTGCCTGGAGCAGAGGGGAACGGAAGAGCAGAAAGTCTTTCTCGCTTTAGCTGCAGGCTGCTGAGAGATTGACGGTACTTTAAAGGGTGAAGCACCCCCAGTTTCCAGCCTCAATTCTATGGAAGGCCTGAAAGGGACTCACTGTCTTAAACCCCAGAAAAAACCATTGCTGCCAGTCCGTGTAGACAATGCGAAGCTAAATGGGCCAGAGTTCCGACTCTGTAAGAAGCAGCTTTCTGTGTGCCTGAGAAATTGTGTGTGCAACTTTCGACAGAAGTCAGGATGTTTCCCATTTGTGTTTTCCTTCAGGTTTTTTAAAAAAATGTTCTGCATGCCTGTGCACCTGTCCTTGAAACTCCAACCCTTAAGGATATCATAATTGTTCACTGGCCCAAACAGCATCTCTGGATAATTTAGGGTGGGAGGAAAGATTGCTCACCTTCATGAATTTCAACTTCATGACGTTCATAATCCTGGCAGATTCTGCGCAAGTCAAACCAAGCTTTCTTTTGATCTGCCGGATTGTGGACCAGGCAGGTGATGATGGAATGGGAAGAGTCTTTTCTCCAGGAGACATGGAGATTCCTGCCGTTGTCAGAAAATGAGAAACTATCTAAAGCTCTCACGTTTTCCCAGGAGATATTGTACGTTCCTGCTACATATGTCTGGCACTGCAGGGTCACATCACATCTCTTTGGAGTCTTGATCAAATCATAATAGTTGATCCTTGGTGGTGGTGCTGGATCTGTTCAACACAAAAGTCATGTGAGGTTGTGCCTCATTGGCTGTCACTAAGTGTGTAGGGCAGCAATGGGGGAACCTCAGGACCAGGGGAAAATGCACCCCTCTGGGCCTCTGTATCTGGCCCATGGGACTCTCTCAAGGCCACCCCCAGGCTGTTAAGATTTTTACCCACCCAAGCTGCTCAGTAGTAGCACTATGGTTGTTTATATCATGTGAGTGTCTGAGAGCATGAGACAGAATGTCTCAGGATTGTTGGAGAGTTTTGTTTCGCTTCTGTGTGTGATGCTGTTCTGTACTGCTGCTGAGAGAGCACAGACAAGCTGATGGATTCTTAGGATATAGACTGTAAATAAAGTAGTTTAGAGCTACTGATTGTCTCTTTCTTCTACAGTGAAATGCCAGAAGATGAGCGTGCTCCTCTCTGGAGAGAGGGGTCGCTTACCACCTGTCTCTCTGGACTGAGGAAGATTTACAGCCAGAGAGTGACCATTGGAGAGATGTCCCGGTGTCTTGGGAAGGTGGTAGCCTTCTGCGGCGTTTTTCCAACACAGGCATCCCCTCTGCTCCACACTTTGCTTGAGTGTGATTTGCCTTGATGGAATAATACAATCATAGAATTGAAGAGCTGGAAGGGAGCCCAATGATAATCTAGTCCAAGTCCTACAATGCAGAAATCCCAGCCAACTAATCCCTGGTGGCTGGCCATTCAGCTTCTGCTTAAAGCCCCTAATGAAGGGGACATCCACCACTTTGGTTTGTGTCTTCCCCTCTGGAGCAGCAGAAAACAAGCTTGTTACTTTTCCTACACCGTAGCCCTTCAGATATTTGAAGATGGCTATCGTCTCACCTTTCAGTCATCTCTGCTCCAGGCTAAATAGTCCCAGCTCCTTCAATATATCCTTCAACTCTGAAAATGATGCTTGCTTGCTTGGATGGATGGATGGAGGGTTAGACATGGGGGTGAGTTTGAGAGGCTGTGTAGATATTGGCCAACTCTACAAAGGTAAGAGTCACATTCTTTACTCCGCCTACTTTCCCCCCTCCCACCACCACCATGTGGCCCCAAGAAGATTCCCTAGGAGGAATTGTGGCCCTCAGTCTGAAACAGAGGTGTTGATGTGGGCCCCAGATTGTGGGTGCTCAGTGGCGTGCTTGCGTGCGATGTGATGTCATGATCTGCCTCCGCTTCCCTCTGCCCCCTGCCGTGCCTCCGCTGACTCACCAGCACCATGGCGGTGACCGGGCCAGGGCCTCTGCCATGGGGCCTCTGCCTGGGTCCACTGAGGCTACAGATGTGCCCCGTCAAGATGGTGCCTATGTTGCTTTGAGTGACATTGCACGCACGGCACGTTTTTGTCACCTGGCTGGGCTCCCACAGTGGAAATTCTGTGGGTCCCGAGGCGCCCAGGGCCCATCAGAGATGGTGCATATGGTCTGAAAAAGGCTCCCCATTTCATCCGATGACCATCCTTTTCCATGCTCAGCTCCAGCACAAACTCAAGAATGGAGAAAAACAATTGCTTACCGTAAAGAGTCACATTAAAAAAGTGGTCTTCAAACTGTTCTGCATCAAACCAGACGCGAGCTTTATAGATTACAGCATCCTGCCTCTCCATCTCCCTGATTGTAAGAGTGGTCCTGTCAGCCATCCGCAGCCGACGTCCAAATATGTGCCCCGACATTACATTAGTCACAAAATCATTTTCCCCAAGTAACCTATCACCTGGTAGGTTCATCCATGTTGCCATCCACGTGCTGAAATTTGACTCCTTCAGCTTCCAGTCTCTGAATTCACAAAGGCGATAGGGCGCTCCGCTTACAGGGCTAATGACGTCCCATTCGATTTTCTCCACTGGTTTTCCCGGGGGGACCTTTACAGGAAAGGAGACCTGTCCTCCCACGACTCCCTTCACATGCTGGGATGCATTCATCGATGCTTCACCTGAAGTGCCTTTGGGGAAGCAAAGAGGGGCGCCATTGTTGTTTGCATATGGAATTTATACCCCACTCTTCCTCCCAGAGGCGGGGCTAGTTGCTCCAGCACCCAGAGCGGCATACATGTTGTGTACCCCGCAGGGGCAGGGCTAGCCGCCCGCGGGCGTGGGGCTAGCGTCCCAGGGGGGTGCATTCCCCCTGGGATGACACCCGGGGCGGGCTTCAAGGGCACCCACCGCACCCCACTTTCTTCACCAGTGCTTCCTCCTACAATTGAACATATTTTTTGTTTAGCAATGATATTGGAAAGCTGTTACATGCAGATACAAGGAAACTCAGAAGGGAGGGACTAGAGGAAGTCAATCAATATCTACATACCTACGGGACTGCCTCTCCTGGTATGCCCCACAGAGGAGCTTACGGTCTTCAAATAAAAACATCTTGAAGGTCCCAGGCCACAGAGAAGTTAGGCTGGCCTCAACTAGAGCCAGGGCTTTTTCGGCTGTGGCTCCGATCTGGTGGAACGCTCTGTCACAAGAGACCAGGGCCCTGCGGGACTTGACATCTTTCCTGCAAGATGGAGCTGTTCCACCAGGCCTTTGGCCAGGGCGCAGCCTGACTCCCTCCTTTGGCAATCTTTACAAAACTTTAGTTTATGGTTGCCATCAATTTTTGATTTTAATTAATTTTTATAATGTTTTTATAATGTTGCACTATTTTAGTGCTGTTAGCCTCCCTGAGCCCGGCTTCGGGTGGGGAGGGCGGGATATAAATAAAATTTATTATTATTTATTATTATTATAAGGTTGGGCTTTTAAAGAATTAAGTTCGTTTTTATCGTTTATTTGTTATGGTGGTGGGTAGGATGATGTTTCTCGTATTGTTTTCTTCTTTGACGTGCTTTTTTGTTTTTGTTTTTGTTTGTTGTTCTGTGATATTTGTTATAATTGTGGAAAACCTAATAAAAAATAAAAATAAAATGAAGGAGCCCTAAGCAACATCTCTGTCCGGAATGTCAATGTGGGGGAGTCATTTTCAAAACAGTTACAGGCCACATTTATATCAAACTCTCCAACTTTTCTGAGATGAAAATAGGGGCGTTCTATTCAACATCTGTCTCACCCCCTATATATATATGCACTGCCAAAAAGGGGGAAAGGGCAGGCCTGACTGAGCTGCCCTACTGGGACTTACTTTTAAGCAAACATGCAGTAATAACAATAACAATAATAATAATAATTAATAATAATATCATTATTTATACCCCACCCATATGGTGGGTTTCCGAAGCCACTCGTCAAACAATAAAAACATCCTAATAAAGGGCTGCCTTCTGATGTCTTCTAAAAGTCAGGTAGTTGTTTATTTCCTTGACATCTGCTGGGAGGGCATTCCACAGGGTAGGCGCCACCACCAAGAAGACCCTCTGCCTGGTTCCCTGTAACCTCACTTTTCGCAACAAGGGAACCGCCAGAAGATCCTTGGAGCTGGACCTCAGTGCCTGAGCAGAACAATGGGGGTGGAGACGCTCCTTCAGGTATACTGGGCCTTTGAGGCCATTTAGGGCTTTAAAGGTCAGCACCAACACTTTGGTATTTGGTGCTTTGAAACATACCGGGAGCCAGCGTGCTTTAGGACCAGTGTTGAATGGTCCCGGCGGCCACTTGCGGTCACCAGTCTAGCTGCTGCATTCTGGATTAGTTGTAGGTTCCGATTTAAAGGAGAGCTAGTTTCATAGTTTTTGTAGGAGAGGAAGGGGAGCCCAGGTAGCAGCAATGTTATGGCCCCAGCTTAAACCACAATTTCCCATGGCACAGAAACAAAGTGGGATCGCTTATTGTTATCCACGAGTGCCAGGGCTAAATTGGAGCACTCGGAGACTCTGTTATGTAAGACATTCAAAGTCGTAACATTTTCTACCATATTTTGAAGGGCTAAAAAGAGGACACATTGGCCAACTTCTACATTTAGCTACGGATCACTATGACGACTCGACCCATGAAAAAGAGGGTGTGTCCTGGAAAAAGAGGACATCTGGCAACCCTACATTGTTCCCCCAGAAAAGAATCCTATGATCATTGTTAGTGCTGAGGTTTTCTTAAGAGATCCCCCTTTCCCCACATAGAACTACAATTCCCAGAGTGGTCTAACAGCCGATCTCTCTTCCTAATGAACACATTAAAGGCTGGAAGCCTTTCTGGTCCCATTCTGATAGATTTGGCTTCAACTGAGAACTAAATGGAATTCCTGCCTCCATACCCACCAGTTCTGAAGGACTTACCAAAGGAAGAAGAGATCAGTAGGACGAAGGTGAGAGGGACAGTAAGGCTTCTGTGAGTGACATCCATTGCTATTTTTGTCTGGCGACGCAGCAGGTCTTGGACGTGGTTCACAGAGTGAGTGGCAAGCGGAACGGAGTTGGTTCACCCTGTTTGGAGCACACTCCTTGGATTCTTCTCTCTGAAAGTAGCAATGCAGGAGAGAGGCTGGCGATGTCAATAAGAGTTTTCTACTGTCATTTCCAGTCATTCCTTCAAGCAGGAAATCCTCTGCCAAGCCCTTCAAGAGAAATCTGGGGTTAGCGAGTACATACGACCAATTACGTCACCTCCTTCCATGAAACCACGTGACCCCAGTTGAAAAGCATCTGTGAAATATCAGCAACAGTTAACCCTTAGGCAGCCTCACTATCCAATAAACATAACGAGCTTTCAGATCTGCTCTCTGTTTTTAAGTGACGCTGTATATCTCTTTCCCTCTCACTTTTCGCTCCTTGGCTTTGAAGCCACTTACTGTTGAAACCAAGCAGCTGCTTTTATTATTTTGCTGTTACTTCTCCTGAATTTTAAGTGGTTTATTACCCAGAAACTCCCCGCCCCAGGAGAAACACCTGTGAAGAGCAGCATTTATAAATGTTGTTAATCTGTGAATTAAAGCTGCCCTAAACCTTTTTGCAAGCCCTCTCAGCTCTACGTGGCTCCAAGTTATTTTCTCCTGTAACGGGAGGGTCCGCACAACAGCTGTGATTGCCAATAGCTTTCAGCAAGAACCCTTCCTCTTTTTATTTTCTGTACACTCTTCTAAAGCCACTCCAGTTAATGGTCCTCCTGTGTGATTGTGCAAGTGAGTTCAGTGTAAAATGAATTATGCATTGTGTGATGAAAGGCTTCCTCTTATCCTTCAGGTTGTAGGATCTGAATCAAGAAGAATTTGGCCTTTAATTAAGCGTTGGTTGTGCTCCGAGCCCCAAAACCCAGCCCTCGTGGAAATAAAGACACAGTCTTTATTTAGGAGACAGTTTAAATGTTAATGGGCAAATTTTGGCCACAACTTTATTGAATACACAAATGTGACTGGTATTGACAGGTGACCAACTGAAGTCCAAAGCAAGGCCAAAGGTAAAGGTCAAGGGACCCCTGACCATTAGGTCCAGTAGTGGCCGACTCTGGGGTTGCGGCGCTCATCTCGCTTTACTGGCCGAGGGAGCCGGCGTGCAGCTTCTGGGTCATGTGGCCAGTATGACTAAGCCGCTTCTGGCGAAGCAGAGCAGCGCACGGAAACACCATTTACCTTCCCGCCGGAGCAGTACCTATTTATCTACTTGCACTTTGACTTGCTTTTGAACTGCTAGGTTGGCAGGAGCAGGGTGGGTGGGCGGGTGTTCGGCAGCATGAAGTAAAGGGAGGTTCCTACATCACACTGCCAAATAGATATCCCCAACCTTTGCCACGATGCTGATTGGCTAAAGGCCAGTGGCAAAACTGTGGCATCACTGGCTTGGAGCAGGGCAAGCCCCACCCACAAGCCAGTTGGGGAAGATTTTCAGGGACCGAGCACAACATGGAACCTCTGTTAGGAGGATCCAACTTGTCAAGCCTGTGCTTGCATAAACTCTGTTTGGATGAGGAGAAAGACAGTCCCTCTCAGGTTGTTGTGAGGTGTGTATCTCAACACGCATGCATGTCCAGCAGGCTGGTGTATTCAGCAAACAATTCCGAGAGGAAATCTCAGCATGGGTGTCTGTTGTGAATATGTGTTTACCCTTAATCTTATGCTCCATAAACAAGTCACACACTCCAGGAAATAAGGAATACATGAAATGAAGAGAGACAGAATATATAGATGCTGCTTCAGGGAGACATGGGTATGGGGGCAGCAAATCATCCAATACATACGCACCTTAGACCTAAAGCGTAAAAGAGTCTCTGACTACTCCAAAGTCCAGAGAGTGGTTGCAACAATGTGCCACAGACCCACACTATGAAGAGAGAAAATAAAGGAGGGAGATGCATATATTTGATCTTGCAACCTAATGGAACACAAAATTAGGGATTAGAATGAATGTGAGAACTCTTTTACTCCTTGGTGCCATATCTGTACAGAACCCACCTAGCGCACCAGCAGCTACCCTGTCAGGCCTGCTGGAGGCGGTGGCCGGCTGGGCCTTGGAGTTCCCTAACCTATTGGTATTGGGGGACTTCAACATCCATGCTGATGCCACTCCCTCCTCACAGGCTCTGGACCTGGTGTCTTCCATGGCGACACTAGGGCTCTCCCAGTTTATTTCGGGCCCACACATCAAGCAGGCCACACGCTGGATTTGATCTTTGGCGCCGGTATAGATGTGATCATGTCTCCTTCGATGAAGGTGCCATGGTCTGATCACTACGCTCTGAAAGCCAGGATTGATTTTCCACCCCCACCCTGCTTAGGTGGCGAGCCAATTTGGGCTCGCCCACAGAGGCTGATGGACCCTGATAGATTCCGTCAGGCCTTGCGGGACCTTGCTTTCCCTGGCAACTCATTGACTGAGCTTGTTGAGGGCTGGAATATCCAGCTCTTAGCAGCCATCGATGAGATCGCACCTAGGCGCCCTCTGTGACCCCGCAGAAACCGGGCTCCCTGGTTTACCGAGGAGCTTCAGAAAATGAAGCGGGACCTCAGACGGCTAGAGCGAGTATGGCGGGGTGCCCGTGACGGAGTCTCAAGAACATCTTATAGGGTTTTTATGAAAACCTACGAGATGGCAGTGAAGGCTGCTAAGAAGTCCTACTTCTCGGCCTCCATTGCCTCTGCTAGCTCTCGCCCGGCGCAATTATTTAGTATAATTAGGTCTTTAACGTCCCTTGAAGGACAGCCAAATTTAAATAACAATTTGACACACAGCTGTGAGGCATTTGCAAGCTTTTTTGTGGAGAAGGTCCTGTTGCTCCGCCATGACCTCCCTGCCAATTTGGATACAATAAAGGAACTGGAGGCCCCTCGACTGTCCTCGGGTCCAGTATTGGACCACTTTGACCGGATATCCCCAGCCGATGTGGACAGACTCCTCCGAGCTGGAAAGCCTACCACCTGTCCTCTTGACCCGTGCCCGTCTTGGCTGATTAGAGCGTGCCCAGACGAGGTGCGGGCCCCCCTGGGTGATATCATCAATTTGTCCCTTGGCACTGGGATATTCCCAGGGGAACTGAAGGAGGCAGTGGTGCGTCCACTCTTAAAGAAAACATCATTAGATCCCTTAGATCTATCCAATTACCGCCCGGTTTCGAATCTTCCATTCCTGGGTAAGGTGATTGAGAGAGTGGTTGCTGAACAGCTTGGTAGGTTTCTGGATGAAACATCGGCTCTCGATCCATTCCAGTCCAGCTTCCGCGCTGGTCATGGGACCGAGACGGCTCTGGTCGCCCTAACAGATGATCTCCGCAGGCAGCTGGATCGAGGCGGGTCAGGGCTGCTGATTCTTCTAGACCTGTCAGCAGCCTTCGACATGGTCGATCACGAACTCCTGGACCACCGCCTTGCCGACGTGGGGATCCAGGGCACAGTCCTTCAATGGCTGCGCTCGTTTCTCTCTGGTCGGGGACAGAGGGTGGCGCTTGGGAGGGAATTGTCATCGCGCCACTCCTTGGTGTGTGGAGTGCATCAGGGTGCGATTCTCTCCCGATGCTTTTAACATCTTTATGCGCCCCTCGCCCAGCTTGTCCGGAGTTTTGGGCTGGGTTGCCATCAGTATGCCGATGACACCCAACTCTATCTGTTGATGGATGGCCATCCTGACTCGGCCCCAGACACACTGACCAGATGTCTGGAAGCTGTGGCTGGATGGTTACGTGGGAGCTGGTTGAAGTTAAATCCTTCGAAGACAGAGGTCCTCTGGCTGGGACGGGACAATATGGGATTGAGGGGGCAACTCCCATCTCTTGCGGGGGTGCAGTTAGTGTCAGCATCGTCCATTAAGAGTTTGGGTGTAATCTTTGATACCTCCCTCTCTATGAAGGCGCAGATTACAGCTATAACAAAGGCGGCATTTTTTCATCTCCGCCAAGCTAAGCAGTTGGCTCCTTATCTCTCTCGCCCTGACCTAGCCATTGTGATCCACGCGACGGTCACCTCCAGGCTTGACTATTGTAACTCGCTCTACGTGGGGCTGCCCTTGAGACTGACCCAGAAACTCCAGCGGGTGCAGAATGCCGCAGCGAGACTCCTTATGGGGTCTTCGCTGCGAGATCATATTCATCCGGTACTATACCAGCTGCACTGGCTCCCGGTGGAGTACAGGATCAGGTTTAAGGTGCTGGTTTTAACCTTTAAAGCCCTATACGGCCTAGGACCCTCGTACCTACGGGACCGCCTCTCCTGGTATGTCCCACAGAGAAATTTACGGTCTGCAAATAAAAACATCCTGAAGATCCCAGGCCACAGAGAGGTTAGGCTGGCCTCAACTAGAGCCAGGGCTTTCTCGGCTGCGGCTCCAATCTGGTGGAACGCTCTGTCACAAGAGACTAGGGCCCTGCGGGACCTGACATCTTTCCGCAGGGCCTGCAAGACAGAGCTGTTCCACCAGGCCTTTGGTCAGGGCGCAGCCTGACCCCCTCCTCTGGCAATCTGCACAGAATTTTGCTTAATGGTTGCCATCAATTTGATTTAATTTGATTTTAATTAATTTTATAATGAATGTTTTTAGAATGTTGGATTATTTTAATTGTTGTTAGCCACCCTGAGCCCAGCTTCGGCTGGGGAGGGCGGGATATAAATAAAATTTATTATTATTATTATTATTATTATTGTTATTATTATTATTATTTTACAGGAAGGCATTATTAAACTTTGCTGGCACACAGCAGACTAGTTTGTGGATATTTTGCATTGTGCATTTGGAGGTCATGATATTTACTCATACCATTGTTGTAGCCATGGGTTTGTGGTTCTTGCTTTTGTTGCCAAACTCTCTTTCGAAGATGCCCAATTTACAGGCTCCTCTCTTAGCTTGTGGAAGTGACTTAAATACATGGACGATGCGTTTTGTGATTAAAAGGCTCCCTCTTGTTAGAGCTGCACACTGGATTCGGCCAAGGCACAAACCAATTTGGGCATCTTTGGAGGGACTCAGGTGTTGGAAGATATGGTTAAAGAGATCCACAGATTGTTGCGGGTCGAGTTGGATGAAGGAGGGTGGGCATTGCCTCAGTAACTGAGATGGACCAGTGGTCTGACTCATTAAAAGGCAGCATCCAGTGTTTGGGAAATGATGGTTAGCATCTGCGCTTTCTTTGACTTTCAACAGAAGCATGGAGGTTTCCCATTCCTTCTTTTCCCTAGATAGGTGTGTGTTTTTTTAATGCTCTGTGTGCCTGGGTACCTCTCCTTGAATCCTTCATCTTTAGGGGTATCCCAAGCATCCAAAACACCCTCATGATTCAGAACTTCTGGGTAGCAATTGTTGGGATACTGCCAGGGAGATGGAGGCATCAGGCAGGCCCCCAGCTGGCTCCAGCCACCGGCTGGCAGCCGGACGATCACCGGTCTCCCTTGGAACAGCATCAATCAGCGACATGAGCCTCAGATACATTTAGAGACCCGTGTATGCTCTATCAGCACAGTGAATAAATCTTCTCACAGCAGAAGCGGCGGACAAAGCCATGTGTAAGCATTATTTGACAAGCGTTTATTCAGCATAGTTCAGGAACAAAGGAAAACATGTCTGTTTCCCTTCATCTCCAGCAAAACAGCAGCAAAGCAAAAGCAATATACAAAACAGAAATTCCCAGCAGACTGCTGGAATGTAAACAGGCATGTGACACACAACAGTCATGCCTGTTCCCTGTTAAGGTGGAACGGAACTATATCCTAACAGCAATGTGAAGGTTAGGACACCTTTCTCTCATTCAATGCTTGTGCAGATGTTGAGCAAGTCAATTGAGGCTTCGTTTTGATCCGCAGGATTGTTAGCCAAGCACGTGAAGGTGGAGTCAGGGGAGCCTTTTCTCCAGGAGACACAGAGTTCACTGCTGTTGTACAAAAGCTGGTACTTAGATGAACCTCCTGCTGAGGCCCTGGAAAGATTGCCTCTTTCCCAGGAGATATGGTACTTTCCCTGACGAGGTACCTGACACCACAGGTTCACATTGCAGCCTTCTCGAGTATTGGAGTATACACGATAGAGTATCCATGGTACTGGCACTGGCTCTGTTCAACACAAAGAGAAGTCATGTGAAGTTTGTGCCTTGGTGGCCATCGCTAACTGTGCTGGGCAGTGACGGAGAGACACGGACCGTCCAAGCGTCCTTAAGAGGATTGCGCCCTGTGGCACTCCACACACCAAGGAGTGGCGCAACGACATCTCCCTCCCTAGTGACACCCTCTGTCCCTGACCAGAGATAAAGGAGCACAGCCATTTTCGGGCTATGCCCTGTATCCCCACATCGGTGAGGCGGTGGTCCAGAAGATCATGATTGACCACGTCAAAGGCTGCTGACAAATCTTAGAGAATCAGCAGTTCTGACCCGCCTCGATCCAGTTGTCTACGGAGATCATCTGTTAGGGCAAACAGAGCCGTCTCAGTCCCCAAACCAGGACGGAACCCGGACTGAAATGGATCTAAAGCTGATGTTTCCTCCAGAAACCTACCAAGCTGTTCAGCAACCGCTCTATTGTCAGGGAATGGTCTGGATCTGAAGAATGCAGTCGCAGGCAGATCAGTCTCTCTCAGAAGAGGAGGGGGAATATTCGCACGTCCTCTACCTCCAGCATTTTCAGAAGCAGAGAGACAGGCAGACCCAGGCACAGAAGCTGAACAGATTAGGGAGGAGCTACCCAGCTACGAGATAATGACAAGAGATCCTGAAGGGCCCTCCCCACTCAGAGGTCTGAACGTATCAGAGAACAAAGGAGGCAGAGAGGGGGAGGAACTTCCTGTTGGAGCGCTCCTTGCTGAGGAAGTAGGGAATCGGATTCAGAGAAAGCAACTGCCCTCCTTGCGGAGAGCTGTGTATTTTGTGACTGCAACATGAAACCGTAATAAAAGGACTATAAATCTGTCAACTGCTCGTTAATTCCTATCTGTGAAGTTACCCAAGGGAGGGGAGGACTCTCTGAGCTTGACAGCTATAAGATAGACATGTAGAATGAGCACATGAGTCAAAACAAAGAAGTTCTAGTAAAGACTGTCCTCCAAATATTCCTAGAGTGTTCTCCTGACCACTTGCTGGAATGTTTCCTTTCAGTCTGATCCATTTATAGCATTTCCACCCCTCCTTTTTCCTGTGAGGAGTTCAGGGTGGTATATCTGGTTCTCCCCATCCTTGCTTGATCCCCACAATAACCCTGTGAGGTAAGTAAGGCTGAGAGGCAGTGACTGGCCCCCAAGGTTACACCCAGTGAGCTTCATGGCTGACTGGGAGGATTCGAACCCTGATCCGTTTTCAGGTCCTAGTCTGACACTCTAAGCACCACACTGGATGTATGCTTTCTTTGGTGCAGCATAGAGGTGTGCGCATGCATGTAGAAGCTACCCTACTCTACAAAGTTCATAATTCACATTCACATTTAGCTGTGATTCCTGCAATTGTGCCAGATGACCTTCCAACTCTACAGTTCTCAGATTAATTTATTCCCCCCCCCCTTTGCCTCTGATCCCTCCAAGCTCTGGGAGTGAATGTGGCCCCCGCCAAGCTGAAAAAGCTTCCTCACTCAATCCCATGGCCATCCTATTCCATGCTGAGCTCCACCCCACAAACTGACAGGAATGGTGAAATTAATGACTTACCGTAAACAGCAAGGTTAAATTTGTGTTCTTTAAACTGCTCTGCATTAAACCAAACACGTGCTCTATAAATTCCAGCATTCTCTGTCTCCAGAAAACTGATATTCAGCATGGTCCTATTAACCAATGCCAGCCGATCTCTAGACAGGGGTGTGCCATTTAAATCCCCACAAAATATGGTTTCATTGTGGTGTTCAGTCCAGTCACTGAGATTTGCCCCCATCCTCAACAGGTTCTCAGCAGTCTTCTCCTCCAGTTGCTTAGACCTGCTGCTGATATCTGACTGCTCCAGTTTCCCACCTTTGACCACACCAAGGGGACAGGGCTTTCCATTTGTGGGGTGAAAGAAGTCCCATTCGATTTTCTCTACTGCTGCTGCAGAGGATAGCTTTAAGGGAATGTAGACTGATCTATTCAGGACTCCGTTGACCTGATGGGGCGAATTCTCAGCTGCTTGCCTTAAAGTGCCTTTAAGGGAGTAAGAAAATATTGGTTATTTATTGAATTCATACCACACCTTTCCTCCTAAAGAAGCCCAGAGCAGCAGACCTATCTGCAACCCAACAATTTAAAGGAGGTAAAGGTAAAGGGACCCCTAGCCATTAGGTCCATTCGTAGCCGACTCTGGGGTTGCAGCGCTCATCTCACTTTACTGGCCGAGGGAGCCAGCATACAGCTTCCGGGTCATGTGACCAGCATGACTAAGCCACTTCTGGCAAACCAGAGCAGCGCACGGAAACGCTGTTTACCTTCCCGCTGGAGCGGTACCTCTTTATCTACTTGCACTTTGACATGCTTTTGAACTGCTAGGTTGGCAGGAGCTGGGACCGAGCAACGGGAGCTCACCCCGTCACGGGGATTCGAACCGCCGACCTTCTGATTGGCAAGTCCTAGGCTCTGTGGTTTAACCCACAGCGCCACCCGCATCCCTTTAAAAGGGGTAGGACACTCTTAAAAATAAATAAATACATGAGCCCATCTATGCCATACATTCAATCCTTGGAGCCGATTAGTTTAAATGGACATGTTTTCCCCCTGCCAAAGAATTCTGGGAACTATAGCTCATTAAGGGTGCTAAGAGGTGTTAAGGAGTCTCCCAACCATTCTCTTCATAAAGTTGCAATTCCCAGAGGGTCTAGCAGTCAATAACTCTTCCCGGCGCAAATTTCAAAGGACAAATTTCAGTTTCTGTATTGTTTCAGAAAGTGCGATTGCGAAAGATTCAGCTTAAATGCGAACTGAATGGACTGTCTCCTTCTCCACCTACATGCCAGCACTGAAGGACTTACCAAAGACAGAGAAGGTCAGTAGGCTGGAGGTGAGAAGAATCAGGAAGCTTCTGCGAGTAACCTTCATGTTTGATCCTCTCTGGGTATGCAGTGAGCCTTTGGTGCCGTGTGTCCCATAGAGTGGATAGAGGGGCAGAGTTGGACCTCCCCAATTGAAGCCCACTGCTTGGGCTCTGATATCTGGTGGAAGCAACACTGGAGACTTGCTGGTATTGCCACCAAGAGTTTTATGCAGGAATAAGAAACTCTGCACTAGGCACACATCAGCTTCACGATGCGTTCAAACATGGAAGCAGCTATCAAGCCCTTGAAGAGAAACCTGAAGATCGTTTTTTGAGGCTGAGGACAACTTAAATACAAATGGTGTGGCGAATTTTCTCTTCTGCAGAATTCCCTGACAGCAATATGAAACTTATGAGTCAGCGGTAAACAATCCTGAATCCCTAATCAGGATCATCATCCCAGGAACACCATTGGTTTTTAGACCTGCTCCCTCTATTTTTAGCGATGTTGCATATCATTTTTCCTGTTTCACTCACTGGCATTGATACTTACCTCTGTTGAAACCGGGGTGCTGTTTCCATTATTCTGTGCTTGATGTTTCATTGTATGGAAGTTTCCCCCAGAGGAAGCAGCAGAGATCAGTGGGCTAAGGGTGAGAAGGTTGCAGAAGCTTCTGTCAGTGCCATTCCTGGTTGCTTCTTGCCAGGTATGCAATGAGCCTTGGATGTGCCTGGTACAGAATGAGAATTGTTAGGTTAGTGGGGGACCAAAAGGGTCATCCAGTCCCACCCACAGCAATCCAGGAATCCCTGGCAGATGGCCATTCAACCTCTGCTTGAAAACCCCCAATGAAGGAAGCAGTCCACAGAATGGGTAGGGGGCAGGAGTTGTCTCTCTCTCTCCCTTTTGGGGCTACTCTTTGCAGGCAACAAGACGGAAGAGGTTCTGGAGATGTCACCTACAGGGTTCTGCTGTCATTTTGAGGCATGGGAAGATACACCTCAGCTTCAGCATGTTAGTCGTCAAGTATTAGGCGTCCAGGAATCCGAGCCCCCCCCACGGCAGACGGCCAGGGATAAATAGACAAGAAAAGCTCTTACCAAAGTATTTTATTCAATATTCACAGAGAGAGGCTTACTCCAGCCTCTTGGAGTAATGGCATTGCTCAGAGTAATCTCCTCCCCACCTTTCCTTCTCAATCGTCAACAGCACACCCCCCCCCTTACAGTGGCTGCTTAAGACCACTTGTCTCTTAGCTCTTTGCTCTCCTACTTTCAATGCTCACCGGGTTCTGGGAGAAGGGGGGTCTGGAATGCTTTCTAGTGTCAACGTGTCAGCCAGCTGCTCCAGCTCTGCTTCCTGCCCACCTCTTCTCCCATTATCTCCCAGCTTTGCCCCTCATCTATCTCTGAGCCGTGATCTTCTGCAAACCACTGTTTTAAATCTATACAGTGATACCTCGGTTTAAGAACAGTCCTGTTTACGAACGATTTGGTTTACGAACTCTGCAAAACCCGAAGTAGTGTCCCAGTTTGCGAACTTTACCTCGTTCTAAGAACGGAATCTGAACAGTGGAAGGGCACCAGCGGTGGGGGGGCCTCATTAGGGAAAGCGCACCTTGATTTAAGAACGGTCTCGGTTTAAGAACGGACTTCCGGAACAGATTAAGTTTGTAAACCAAGGTACCACTGTACTGTCTTCCTCTTCTCTGGAAGTTTCAGGAGAGAGGAGGGACAGGACGGTCTCCACATTTCCTCCTCAGTCCATTCCCCTGACATCAGGCCATTGAAGAGGAATGTGGGGTGATTTTGGGGTTGCAAGAACCACATGACCTATTTCCTCTTCCATGCAATCACATGACAGCGATTCCAAACTGTGAGTCAGAGATCAGCAGTGTGTAACCCTCAGTCAGCCTCTCTATCCCATCAACAGAATGAATATTTAGATGTGCACCCTCTATTTTTTATTTTATTTTTAAGGAAAGCTGTGCCTCTTTCTGCCCTGTTTTCCTCTCTGTTGTTTGTACTTATTCTTGCTGAAACTGGGCTGCCGTTTTATTATTTTGTGGTTTTATTACACAGAAGTTCTCCCAGAGGAAACAGCGCGATTGAGCAGCCTTTATAAATGCTGTTATTCAATAAGTAAAGCATTTCTTAGGTTTCCTTCACACTTCCTGAAACAGCCCCTGAAAGGAAACAGAGCTTTCCTTAGAAATCTGCACTACTTCAAATTCTGCAGGGCATTTCTCTAACTGACAAATGTCTACAAAATTGTGTAAAATTGTGCAATTTCAGAAAAAGTGGGCCTTAGAGTGCATGGATGAGTGAAAGCAACACACAAAAGGAAGGGAATGAAAATGAGTGCTTTGCAGCTGTATTTTCAACTAGCATCTGGTATCTGGAGGTAGACTGTTTCTATAAAGGGAAGGTCCACATAACAGTCGTCATCCCTAAAATCTCTTGACAACAGGTGCACCTGTTTGAATACGCCCAACGCTCTTTTGAAGCCACTGCATTTAATGGTTCTCTCATGTGATTGTAGAAGTGAGTTCAGTATACCTATTTTTCGCTCTATAAGACACACCTGACCATAAAACACACCTAGTTTTTGGAGGAGGAAAACAAGGGGGGAAAATTATGAATTTCAGAAGCCAGAACAACAAGAGGGATCGCTGCGCAGCAAAAGCAGCGATCCCTCTTGCTGTTCTGGCTTCTGGGATAGCTGCGCAGCGGGCATTTGCTCCATAAGATGCACACACATTTCCCCTTACTTTTTAGGAGGGAAAAAGTGAGTCTTATAGAGCAAAAAATACGGTAAATGAATTTACGCATTTTGTGTTGAAAGGCTATCTTTTATCTGCTGGCTTGTAGGATCCAAATGATCTAGAAAGTGGGTTTAAATTAAACTTTAATGTGCACTTGCATAAACTCTGTGTGGATGAGGAGAAAGACAACCCCTCTCAGCTGGTTGTGAAATGTATGTCTGAACCCACATGCATGTTCAGCACCTGTGTTTATTCAAGGGTTGGATTCTTGTGCTGGAGTCAGTATTCATGACTGTTATGAATATGAGTTTAGCCTTAAGCTTATACCCCATAAAGAAGTTACGCACTCCAGGGGATAATTTTGGGTGTCAGGATCCATCTGTCTTGAGAGATAGCGGTGAAGTCAAAATGTAGTACTGAAATGGCCTCCCTGGGGTGCAAGCCTGGGCAGTATGTACAGAGGTTCTGTGATGCCCAGATGACAAGACACAACCAGCCCCCCAGGCCTTGCTGATGCTGAGGTCCAAAGAAAAGTAGAGCAATACATAGACCAATAGATTGGTCTCAACTAGGGCCAGGGCCTTTTCAGTACTGGCCCTGACTTGGTGGAACCCTCTGTCCCAAGAGACCAGGGCCCTGCAGGACTTGACATCTTTCCACAGGGCCTGCAAGACAGCTGATCCGCCTGGCCTTTGGTTTGGACTCAGTCTGACCCTCATGTTTCTCTCCCCTTATGGTTTTGATCTATGGGCTACTTTTAAAATGAGGCTGCATTTTAAATTGCATTTTAACCCATATTTTAAATTGACCCCCCCCCCTTATGTTTTTACTGTGATTTTATTGGGAGGGGTATAAATAATAATAATAATTTGTTGTTGTTGTATAGTCGTTTAGTCATGTCCGACTCTTCGTGACCCCATGGACCAGAGCACGCCAGGCACTCCTGTCTTCCACTGCCTCCCGCAGTTTGGTCAAACTCATGTTGGTCTCTTCGAGAACACTGTCCAACCATCTCGTCCTCTGTCATCCCCTTCTCCTTGTGCCCTCCATCTTTCCCAACATCAGGGTCTTTTCCAGGGAGTCTTCTCTTCTCAGGAGGTGGCCAAAGTCTTGGAGCCTCAGATTCAGGATCTGTCCTTCCAGTGAGTACTCAGGGCTGATTTCCTTAAGAATGGAGAGGTTTGATCTTCTTGCAGTCCATGGGACTCTCCAGAGTCTCCTCCAGCACCAGAATTCAAAAGCATCCATTCTTCAGCAATCAGCCTTCTTTATGGTCCAGCTCTCACTTCCATACATCACTACTGGGAAAACCAGAGCTTTAACGATACGGACCTTTGTTGGCAAGGTGATGTCTCTGCTTTTTAAGATGCTGTCTAGGTTTGTCATTGCTTATTATTATTATTATTATTGGC